CTTTTCTTATTTAAAGCTCTTAAGAGTTCCCTGTCACACCTGATTCTACTTTTGTTTCCTAAAGGCCTTCTTGGTCCATCTTAATCTGGATTTTGGCCAGGCCATTCCACTGAGATGGCACTTTTTCAATGCTTTATATTGTGCTGGTACTTGTCCATTGGATACTGTTGTCCAGATTACTGTCCCTGGCATCATAACAGAATCACGTATCACTGGCTGGGCACTTGATTGGTTCAAATCTCTCTCTCTCTTTTGTGTTCTTCTCATCCTTTTGCAATACTGGAGGGCAGAATACAGTCCCGGAAATTTCCCCTTATAACGGGTATCTCTCCGGGATCAATCCTGGATCCTCCTTTGTTTACCCTTTTCCCTCGGTTGCCCTGATTATGGATATCAATATCATTGTTATGCTGATAATACTAATCTGGTAACATGTGTTCAACCGTGATGCAATGTGGCATCCATGGGGTTGTCTGAGCTTGGTTGTTTTCTTGCAGACCTTTTGTTACCCAGCTAGGTAACATCTTCAGTACTAGAAGGGAGTGGGGTTTGTCGCTGTTTATATTCAGTAGCTAGCCCTGCCAGTGTTGGTGGGGGTTTGGTTTTCTCCTTGGCACTGCCTTGGTTAGGCTGTTGTTTACTGCTTGATTGTGTGCCTGGTGTTAATCCCTGCTTATCTGGGTGTTGATTGCTGGCAAGGAGGTGTTCTGATCTTTTTGTTTCCTTTTTATTGTCTCTTGCGAATGGTGTGTAGTTTACCTCTATGTGCCTGTTGATGGCTGACTTGTCTGAATACCAAGCTTCCAGGAATTCCCTTGCATTGTTGGATTTAGCTTGGTCTAAGATGCTGAGTTTCCCAGTTGAAACCATGGTTGTGTTCATGTATTGTGAGATTAAGGAGTTTTCATCATGTCTTCTGACTGCTAGTTGGATGTTCATGGATGTGCTCTGCTGGTCTTCTGCCTGTCTGTCCTACATAGTGGCTGTTACAGTCCTTACACTGTATGTTGTAGATGACTCCTGTTTTTCCCTCTTGAGCTACTGGGTCTTTTGGTTTACTTAGGATGTTTTGGAGGGCTTTTGTTGGTTTGTGTGTTATGGCAATGCTGTGTGGTTGTAATAGTCTGTTGGTTGTTTCTTGGGAAGAACCAACCAACCAAGGCAGGGGAAGACATCCAAGAGATAATGCAATGTCTGATTAGCATTATCTCTTGGAAGTCTTCCCACTGCCTTAGGCTGAATATGGCTAAGACAGGGAGATCCTGTTCTAGCTTAATCATCCTTCTTGTCTACTGTGTTCTCTCCCATTTGCCTCTAGACCTGATCACAGCCTTGGGAACTTGATTGTCAGCTGACTTTGGACCCATTTATTGTTCTTATCACACTTGGTGTAATTTGATTTGTAGGTTTAGCGTAGGGCTGTTATCCCACCCTACTCTCATTAGTCTTGTAGTTCCTAGGTTACCACCTGTTTTAAGTATAAATACACGCTCAGTTGTACCGCGAAGTGTTGTTTACACATATATGCGACACCTAAAGACTTAACCAATTTATGTGGGAGAAGCATTTATGGCATATAAAATGCCATACTCTTATCTTTTAAATGCCGTTAAAATGCAGACTTGCCACTTGAAGTCCAAGCAATGTTATTTTACCTTCCTCAGTTTCAAAAGGATCCTGTTGTGAGATTGGGTCTCTACTGGAGTAAATCCAAACAGACAAACAAAAAATCACTTAAATCTGTTACTATAGAGATCATAGAACCATAGAATCAGTCGGAAGTCACCCAAGAGGTGATCGAGTCCAACTTCCTGCACACTGCAGGATTCACTACTCCATCCTTGATAGTCTCTTGACAGTTCTTACAAGAGGTTCTTCCTAACGTCTAATCTGTATCTACATCCTTTTAAGTTTCATCTCACATTGTCAGCCCCACTAAGTAGACCAGACCAGGAAATCAACTCCACAGCAAGGGCGAAACTGTTGTATTGAGATTGGCTACAGTAACAGGATCTTGCAAGTCTGATCGTGCTGGATCTCCTCCTCCTCCTCCTCCTCCTCGTGCTTCGGTGAATTAAGGCAGTGCCTGCACAGGCCACTTCCAAATGTTATCTCACTGTTGTGGACTCAAAAATGCTTCGCCCTCTTTTGCCTAGGAAAGAGTTTTTGCCTAGCTCTGTCAAGGTCCTCTTGCTTGCTCTCTATAGTACATCCAGCCCTTATCAGAACACTGATGTGTTTAGCAACAGGTAACTTAAGTGGACAAGCAGTGATTTATACTACTTTTTAAACTGCCGTTGCTGAAGTTTATGTCAGCGCTACATTGCTGACTCATATTCAAATTGAAGTCATTATTCCAAGACACTTGCAAATATTAGCAAGCTAGATATCGCTTATCGTCCTGCCTTCGATTTTTCTTTCCTAAGGGATGACATTGGATTTCTGTTAAATTCAGTTTTGTTTTGTTTTTTTGTCCATACCTCTAGCCTATCAAGATAATTTTGGATTTGTCTTCTAGGCTATTATCTACTTCACCCAATTTTGTGTCATTGGAGAACATTGTTCCTCCATTAACAAAACTATTAAAGAGGAGACGATCCAGGACTGAGCCTTCCAATGGATAATTGCCCCAATCCGATGAGCCGCTTTCGAGCTATGTGTCCCCTTGTGTCACCCAATCCACACTTAACTACCTTGCTTTTAGGATGCCGTAGGGCACTTTGTCAAATGCTTTGCTGAAATCAGGTTATACTGTATTAAGCCTATAGTAGTCCCATTATCAAATTACTAGATTAAAAAGTGATTTAAGAAGAATCAAGATTCAATCTGGCAAGACCGATGCTTGACAAATCCGTTTCTGCATTGTTTCCAAGATGCTTTCAGATCAATTTCGTCAAGATCCAGACTAAATATTCCCCTATGTCAGTTACTGGATCCCCGTTTCTGAAGGTGCGGGCAACATTTCCTCACCATCACCTGGCACTTCCACAGTTCTGACATCTCGGTCCGGTCCCCTTCATATACCCCGGAACAAGTAATCTTTTTTGGAGGAGTCAGAGCCAAATGGGCGTTAAGCAATTGGCAAGGAGGATTCTTTCCTCTTCTTTTTACTTTGATCCAAATGTTTTGTGGGTCTCTGCGCTCTTTGCCAATCTCAGGTCAGTCTGAGCTTTGGCTTCCCTGATACCATCTCTGTGGTTCTGAGCTGCCTAAATTCGCCTCCTACACGGGCCCTTTTTGTTAATTTTAGCTGGTCTTCAACCAAGTGCGTAGGAGAAGCTGGTGGTAAAGGCTGAAGGGGAACGAGGGAAGTGGGGCATTTTCCATCCAGCAACTTCTACCGCTGCAACCACGTCCGTCCGTCCGTCCGTCCGTCCTTCCTTCCGTCTGTCCATCACACAAGTTGTCTGACACGGCGAGAGGCCGCCAGGCCGTCCTCCTCTGCGTGGCTCAGCTCTCTCCGTGTGTATATTCACTTATCAAACGCGCATGCCGCTGCCCCAGGAAAGCCCCGCGCTCGGTGCCGGGCCCAGCCGGGCCCCTCCTTCGCCGCCCTCGCCCCGGGCGCTTCTAGGGAGGCCTTTCCCAAGCCTCCCCCTCTTCCGCGGCCCAGCTCCGGACTGACCCCCGTCGCTGCGGCCACGCGCCTGCGGGCCCCGG